TTCTTGATCCTAGTCTCTGCAATACTTGGTTTGGCTTTTGCCAACTTGGCAGACGCCTATACCAGTGCTGCTTTAACCGATGCTGACAAGATTCTAAAGGCGCATTCCGCTCTGTGCAATCATTTGCACCGCTTACGCAAACGACTGAATTTTTATCTGCTTATTGTGTATGCGACAGATATGACATGGGGGATGTACAGAGTGACCCTGTTTAAAGAATTTCTGCAAGGCGTATCGTCCAAAGGTGACATAACTACCTACATGACGTATACTTTCCATCAGTGCGCGTTGATAGCACTGCGCACAGCAGCATTCATTTGGTTAAGCGTCCAGGTGATCAAATACTAAATGTTTCAAAAATTTCCGAATACTTCTGCACAATAAACACCACCCGGTAGTTCTCTCCTTACTTGCTGATATACAGACACATGACATACTCGTACAGTTTTGATGCGCTAAAAACTTTCTTCAAATTTTTTACACGGAAAAGAATTTTTGGCATTACCTTTAAAATATCAGTGCATCAATCTATGCAGAGTAATCAAATTTTATTTTCAGGCAGCAGCAATGTCTGACGCCATCTCCTCACGAATTGTCGATATGCCATACGAAAAATATCAGAAAAAAGCACTGATTCTTGTGCAATTATTGGACAGAGAGCATAGAGGATTCAGTCTCGGTGGACTGCTTAACGTCAACTGCGAGTTTGTCATCGGGGTAAATTAAACGCCTTGTAGGTGGAGTTCTCAACAAACATGTTTATTTGATAATTGTTTTCATTTTCTTGCAGATCCTGGGAGCATTTATCACGTACACGCTGTTGACATGGGACGACAATAAAGAAAATTGCGTAAACAGCCCTCTGAGAAATACAAGATTACCGTTGAATTGTGCAAATTAACGTCCTCACATCAGCGAACCCTCCGAATCACTGTGTCAAAATCTTCATAATATATGAATCGTAAAGACTGTTCTTGTCAACATCAAAGTTGGCTTTTTCTAAACTACAGCATGTGGCCTGAAATCGGTTATTAAGAAACATCGAACTGATCGAAGTAGTTTTTAAAAGGTGTGCCAGCGAGAAAACGCAATGTATTTGCAAAATGATGAACAGTTGCGAACTACCAGTATGTATCTGATTCTTGAGTAGAACAGTTCAACAATATAACATTATTGATTCATCCACATTCGACACCATTGTGAATCACAAATTTTTACTTAAAAAGGCTTGCATCTGCTTTAACATCCGTAACAGCAGTCTCCCAGTGTCATTCGAAAATACTACGTCCTACAGTAGCATGGCTTTAATTTCTGAAACATTTTACGGAAACTGAAGCCGATAAAGTGATAAGTACCTTAAGATAAAAAAGTACTTTTCTTGAAATGTCAGGTGCACCTGTGCACGGCCTAATGTTCGAAACGGGTCTTCATAGCATGCAGCTAATTAACAAAATCTAGTTAAGTATCTATGTACAGATACTTAACTAATAGTTAAGTATCTATCTGTATAGTTAAGTATATATTACTAATAGTTAAGTATATATCTGTATACATATAGTTAAGTATCTATCTGTATAATCAGTCTCTAATGCCCATGTTACAAAATCACAGCATCGAAACAATTTAAAATTTGTTACGCGAAAGAGAACGGATGCCGACCTTATACTATTTTCCGACCTTTCTTTCTGTTCAGCCGTTTGCTAACTTTGCTTGATACAATACACCTCTCGCTGATTAACCCAGGAATCAAAATGGCATCAAAATGCGGACAGGTGCGTAGACTCCCTTCACAACGCATACGGGCACTTATATCAAGGAAAAGATCTATATTACAACGGAAAACCCCGTACGATCTGTTCAGAACAAACCAAAAAATTAATCGAAAAACTGCTAACGCCATTCGATTCAGCATGTCTTGGAACTGTGTTACATGCATTTTGTGTTGATAATTATCCGCTCCGTCTCCCGTGCACAGACGCCGGTTCCGGTAGAGCTGAAAGCTCAAGGTGACCTTGAAAACAATTTCAGAGTCGGGTTGCATGGAGCGAAAAATCAGTGAATTTAAACTGGCACCTTTTTAGATCAGCAGATTAAGATTTAAACTTTTACTCCTACAAATCTAAAATAGCTAAGTACTGTAGTTAGTAGCTAGTAACACAAACGATCATACGATGCTGCTAGTGAATGGCTTCATTTCAATAAATCGTTGACAATTTAAAGCGCTCAAAAACATGACATACCCTAGGAATAAAAACGCCCCTTAAAAACCATTTGAAGGCAGCTGTGAACGAAACTGACCATAGTAATCGTCAAACGGGCTGACCTTTCATTACAGTCCGAGCAAAACTAAGGACAGTGATTAATCAGCATATACGGTCCGTAAATTTCCTTATACTACGGAATAATTTAGTATCTTCAGATCAGAAAATGCCCAACCGACTGAACTGCTCAGATCGGAAAATTTATATTCCCTAAAAAAACCATAGAAATAAACGGCATCCTCGTAGGCAGTGAATTATAAAGGCTAATTTTATGATATTAATGATCACAATCAGTGCGAAAAGGACTGTTCGCATTGAAAATACCTATACACAGAAAAAATATCAATTACATAAATTTCAAAATATTACCGCTGTAGTTGTAATTGAGTGATCAAATTACTAGCCCGATACATGGGTGGGTAGCCGCTATACCGCTACTCTCCAGTACACACAGGTGAGTGAGTAACCAGACGAGTGGTAAACGACTAACTGAGCTACCACTACTGGAACTGCACGTAGTGGGTGACCGAAGTACCACTATTCTCGTGTGCAGAGACCGGCAGGCGAGTGGGTGACCGACCTGCTGAAAATAACCATTGTGCACCGTTCCCTAGGTAGGTACGTAACGAAATAAGTGGTGATGAGTAACTGAAGTACCACTGTTGCTCACTGCACATAGTGAACGACCAATTTCCACTACGCACAGCCGACTGACAATGAGAGTTTGTGTAAGTAACCAAATTACCGTTATTTTTTTAAAGCGCAAATCGTGATAGGTGGTGAAGAACTGAAGCATGAAGTAACACCACTGTTTAGTGCATATAGTGATCGCAAATAGTGCACGAAGACTGTGAGTCGCAGTAATACTAAATTAATAAAACCATCGAGAAACCGACCGCAGACCACAAGAAACGCGGAGGCGAAGCCGTTTCTTGTAATAATATAACATCCACTAGTACTCTTGCTTTCGTTTTCATCGAGTGCAGTATGCAATTTATTATTCTGTTTAGCAGTACTAACAGAAAGATTTAAATACAAATTATACAATAAATGTTAATCTGTCGCCCTTTGAAAATCGCTGAAGTTTCATACCCGTTGGCGTCGTACAAAATGAGCTGTGGAGAACGTTTAAAGATCCACCCAAAAGTTTTGTTATCAAAACATGAGTACTGCGTTACGATTTTCAAAAGAAACCGGTAGTAGAGCCCTGCACGAGCAGCAAAAGTGCTGCTCGACTCGCTCATTTGAGTTTTCCACAATTTCCTGCTCGTTCAGCTCGCTCGCGCTTAAACCTCTGCTCGCTCAACTCGCTCGTTTTTAAATTTTTCTTTGTTCCAGCTCGCTCAACTCGCCCGCATTTGTTATGGTCTAAAATCGGCTCGCTCGTAAGCTCGACAAAAAAATTACACATACGCCAAAATCAACATTTGTTTTAGGTGAGCAGCTTTTAAGTACTAAAATTTGATGTTTTGCTAAGAGCACTTTGGTGGCTGGTCTATGGTTTTTCTACTTAACCTCCCCATTGGCTCCCTATTTTGTGGTGGTTTCGTTTTTTTGCTAACAGAATTTCCTGGATTCGAAACCAAATTTTCATTTAACATGCTTAAAGTTCGCAAAACTCTGACCCTTGTCTAAGAAGCATTAGGAATGATATCGCAGAAAGATTCGTTAGGGTGTCTCTGTATGTTAGCTACCGAGCTGTCGCTAGCATCGTGTTAACAAAAACCACAATGAAAAAGTGTTCGCGCGAAGCGCGAAGCTGACGGTGGATTAAGGCTTTTGGAGCTCTGTTTACGCAATTTCTTGTACTGTAGTAGTTTCGTCGGATCGCACAATATGAGGCGGTCAGCTCGGGATCGCTCGCATCCGACTGTCCTGCTCGTTCGGCTCGCTCGCTGATTTTTTCCTGATGCTCAGCTCGTTCGCAAAAACGTAAAACGGCGACTGCTCGCTCGAAGCGCTCGCGAGCGGCGAGCGCTCGTGAGCCGAGCCGAGCTGCTCGGCTCGTGCAGGGCTCTAACCGGTAGTACGACTCTGTGCCATTGTTTCGCATAAAAACCGCTCTGTGTTTCGCTCTGTGCCAATGTCATGTTTAGTTATTCCTTTATTATATCTGTAACACTGGGGCTTTTGCCAGCTCAATTTCTATTCAGTTTTACGTACATACTGCATGACGTTAGATAAAGTTTACCGGAAACGGTGTATACTTTACGAAACGTGTCGGATTTCCGAAAAGACTTTAGGTCTAAACAGCGGCCGGGTCTAACTATGATTCATTTTTATCTAGCGGCCACAATACTAATAAATGGCAAGGAGCAACAAGCTGTATCAAGCGAAACAAGAAGGAATTCTAGAAATTCCTGAGAAAACCAGCTTGCCGGTAAAATGGACAGAGATACCATGTACCTATATTATACTGCGATGAATTAGTGACCACAATATAGTTCGTAACTGGGTGGTCGCACAGCACAAAATATATTGCTAACGGGTATTCTTTATGACATTTTTCACGTGACTACTTCAGCGTGCAGACATGTACAAACCAAGAAATACCGAGTCGGAAGCCGGCATGCGCGGCTTCCGACTTAATGGCAGTGGGCACGTCTGTAAGCCGATCAGTCTATGAGCACATTGGGCAGGCCGAGCAACTACTATATTTTAAACGACTACGATGTTATACTTTCAGTTTGGGACATGAAATTGCAGAAGAAGTTAGTACTACAGGGCCCTGTATGCAGCAAAACCGACTAATCGCTTGCCTTCCTTCTACAGCTTTTGGACGAAGGAAATCTCGTATTTAGCTATTGCTCTCTAGTTGCAGAGTTTTACAGAATTTTAAACTGATTCCAGTTTTAACGTTCAAACAACCTAAAGAGCTTAACATGTTTCGGGACGATGGATGCAGCCAGTCACCAGTATGGGACCTTCCAAAAATTTATTTTATTGCTCACAGCTTGCAACTGGGAATGTATAAGGAGTTACCGTATATTTTGTAAGCGGAGTTGGACGACTGGTATCCAAACACAGTTTCAGTGAACTGAAAAGCCAATATTCATTCCTATGTTCCCAAACTCCATAGTTCGCCGGGTTTGCGAATACAGTAACACAATTACTTTTGGAAATCCTTCTCGAATTACCGTCGCCAGGGTGAGCAGATTATTTGCACAGAAAAGACGGTATCCCATATATTTGGCACACTACCGATTACGGAAATGGAAGATGTGAAAAGCACTACCACGGAATGGCGGATAGCAGATGATGGGAAATTCAGGACCTTCGGTGACAATTACGACTTCCACCATGGTACTATGAATTTCATCGCAAAGGGAACCTTCGGGTTTGTGTACGAAGCAACAGCGGCAAAATATGATGGTCTTTCTGGTGTACAGATAGGTAGCTGTCAAGGCTATGCAGATAGACTGCAAATCGGAGAAACACAGGGCTTCCTGGTTGCATAAAATGGAAACCATCATTAAACTACGGCACGACCACCTAGTAGCTATTCACAACGTGAGGGTAAAGGACTGCCCAGATGGAGGACTGCATGTTGAAGTGCTAATGGATTATTACCCGAGTGAGTTAGCATGTTCGGTGGTTATTGAAATCGTTCACACGTTTTTACGTGCAAATTTTCAGATGGAAACCTGTCCACGTTTTTAAAGCAGCTAAAAGCCCAACAAGAATTTCTCCTCTATGGGGAAATAATTCGGTATGCAGTGGATATTACAAGTGGGCTGGTGTTTCTACATCAGAAGAACATTATCCATGGAGACCTGAAACCAGGCAATATTCTCGTCAAGCATTTGGGAGCAAGGGAAATAAGACTGCTGAGACTGGTTATCTGTGACTGCGACAATCCAATACAGATGCAGCAGAACACCACGGTGTCCAGCGATATATCTGTAACCCATTTGCTTGGCACACTTCGCTATATGTCACCGGAAATGCTGAAGAAATTTGTAAAGTTCCTGGGAGAGCGGACGACCTTTCCGCCACCTGGGCGTAAGACAGATATACTGTATGGAGCCTTGGCTGTATTATGTTGAATCTAGCTTCGTTTTACACGGATCGTTTTGAGAAGGGATTGTGTCATCAAGATCCGAGCAAGCTAGTAATCACCGTTGCAGACGACCTTACCGATTACCAGTATGTCGAGCTGATTTTGGACGGTTACGCTCCAGTAGTTGGTGCGTCAGTTCCGCCGCATCTTGCAGCATGCATTCGGGACTGCTTAGACACCGACGCAGGCAACAGGAAATCGGCTCAGCAGCTACTTGTGGGACTGCTGTCTGCTGGTGAATTGAGTGCCGGTGAAACGATGAGAAGAAAGGAACCGCTTCAGGAGGGTTGGTGGGTAATTTTTCACTGGGTTCAAGATCTCAATTACTGGGGAAGTCATTATGCATCAGTCTGCATTGAAGTGTTTGATACTTCCACCCACAACATGCAACAGCTGCCGAGTGCTTGGAAACCTAAATTAGAAAAAATCCGTCATGTTACGGTACAAAAGAATGCAGGATTTCTCTTTAATTGGGCCCCATTTTCATCGCAAAAATGCGCGTTGTATGTATGGAGCGTAGTGCGCCAGTCTGGCGACCATAAGATCGCTTCCTTCACGCAGCCCAATGTGGAATACCCAGTTGTATGGACGGGAAAAGACATTTTCTTATGGGATATACATACGGATGAAAATGGGAACCGTCGGAACATTCTCCTTCGCGTTGAAGTTATTTATAATGATGACTTTACGCTAGCTGAATCAACGATGCATTCACAAGGGTAAGCATCATTAGATAATTACGTATTCAAAGCGGGTGCGCTCCCATGTAGACTCGGGTTCGGTGTTATGGTTAACTTTGTGTACCTAGCTGGTGGTCTTTTGACGGAGCTAGAGACTTACGGTAGGTGCAGAGCGTACCGCCCTGCGTACGTAGTTGATGACCTTTAGTAATCAAGTGCAGCACTCAAGTGGCAACAGTTTACGCATTATATTCGATGCCGGATTGCCGACATGCAGCACATGAAAGATATTGGTTCCGCTCATGCCGTAATTCGGATAATGTGTTAATTAAATTTGAAAAGCGACCATTAATCAAATTTGAAAAGCGACAAGCGACTACTTTCCAGGGTTGTAGGTCCAGCAGCATTGTTTTATTAATTAAAAACCAGGCACAGCGTTACGCTGTAAAGCATCCGCTAAGCCATAAACGGCATAAAATGTATTTCGCAGAGACCCATTCAATGGAACTTTCAATAAGGTATACAAATCAGCAATCTACGGAAAAGATATAATATACATTGGAGAATCAGCCGAATACCAAAGCCAACAACTATGGCTGAGATGTTTTAATACGGAAACTGGCACCTGGGATATGGAATACCCTGATTTGCCCGACTATCGGAAATTTTTCGCAGTGGTCGCAGTCCGCGATTATGTATACGTTATCGGCGGTGTGTTGGTGAGGAAAGGCGCAACGGAAACGACCGCCAGCTGTATACGCCTGAACATGAAGACACGCACGTGGGAGCAGATACACCCCTTGGTGCATCCACGAAGCCACTGTTATGGCTTTTCTCATAATAACCGTGTATACGTCTATGGAGATTTTCCTCGCGGAAAGTTGTTGACAATGGAAATGCATGACATCTTTGGGAACGGCCTGTGGGAAAGTGTCAATATTAACAGGACCGAGGGAAACAACGAGGAAATGGTGAAATTCATGAGGAAGAAGGAAGGCATACAGGCTTTGTACACAGTGGCAGCCTTTTTCAGTCGCGATGTATGTGCGTTAAGTCCTTTACGGTCGTTGGAGCTTTAGCAATAATTGCAATTTCGTTCTCTACAATTGTACAGTGCGTAATTTTTCATATAATTTTATCGACAAAACAAAAAAGTACCGCCAGCGCCCTAATACCTAGGCACCATCGTGACGTGGCGTTGCGCACATGCTGGGTTTTTGCCGGCGAAAAAGTCGCTCTGGTTTTCGCAGCCGGTAAACAGTAGCACCTTGTACGTGCTCCAACGTGAGCAACTCCCGGTACCCGAACAACAAGAGCTCGAGACAGGTTACGATTGCAAGATTTGACCGATTGCACGCTTTTTTTGATTTTAATAAAATAGTTGAATGTACACAAATTAATGCCAACATGAATACCAAACTACTTGATAACGCAAAACTTTTGGTATTGATGAGCTCTTCTTGAAAATGACAGCTTTTTATTCAGACTGTTTCCGATTAAAACTAAGAAACGTTTTGGCTTTTTGGAGTTTTATACGCAACAAAGCGTGTATGACCTTGACCTGACGAGCGCTTTGTGATTCAGCGAAAAGATTTCCGTCTACTCACCGTGGCTGTTAGAAATTGTTGATATGTTGCCAGTAGCTTAGGATATGGAATGCAGAAAGTGAATTTACAGCTACTGTACTCAGTATTTTAGTTGTAAGCGCATAGAGAGTTTTCATTAATCTGTTACAGACACAATGCAGGTGGACAGACAGCTTGTTACAGATGGCATCAGAGTTTTGCAGTATAAATCATACTTATGCAATGCCTACTGGCATCTAATACCCTGAAAAATGCACTTGATTGAGAGTACAGTACTTATTTGAGACAGAAAAAAAGGTTAGGCAGATGCCGGAACATGGTTTGAAGATTATTAAGCGTAACCTGGACTTACGTAATCTAGCTGCAATATCTCTATCTTGATTATTTTACTAAACGGCATAGGAACGAGTATAAAAAGGCATTCTATTGAAAGAGAGCGTATGTGCACATCGCTATTAAACAGCTGCATGTGATTCATTGAATATAATAATCATACCATTCTTCCGGAAAAAAATGGAATACGTAATTGCATTGACGTTAAGCGCGTATTTGCTGTTTGCCACTCCAGTAACAGCGGACCTCTGCGCCGACCTACAGGCAACATACGACAGGGTCCGACCCGACGAATTTGTGAGTTATCTACGGCCAAATGACAGCAGCTCGCTATGGCCGGTTAGCGCAGCGGATGTGCAAAAATACAAGACAGCAGGAAACAATTACTGCACGTAAGTTACTGTACTTATAATAAACGCACGGACAAACACGCGTTCCCCGTGTTCTGTATTCCTTAACTCTGTGGCCGAAGGTGTGCAAGCCGCTACAGTGCATTCAAGCATACGAATGCAGCGAATACGCCTACTTACGCCAAATGTTTTAATTGTAGTCGACACTCTGAAATAGGGGTGAGCATGAAATCCCTGTATAAGAAGTGCCCCGACGTCTACAACCGTATGAAAAGGACTTCTGGTGGATGGTTTACTGCTGAATGGTTTACTACCATGGGTCGGCTGTGCGAAACGCAAGTGGACCCGGTTAAATTCATTCGCGCAGGAGACCACTGTCAAAAAAAGGAAATGGGGACGTACTTTGCCTGCTGTTATATGGGCGTTACAGACGACACAAATAAGGACACCAGTGAGTCCATTGCCCATCAGCAGATCTGCAGGTAAGTTTGAAGTCCATGTGAAATATGCAAGCACAAGTTAACTTCGAATTGCGACCGATCAATAATACTAAAACAATAAGTGTATAAATTCTAAACAAACGGGAAGCAGTGATAAGAATTCCTTGGTCCTTTTGCGAAGAAGCGTAACGACAAGCATTTGCGGCATCCTTATAACGGTCCCACTGTCGAGCACAAAAACACCGTAGTGGTCCGCCAGTTATAGTTCTGCAATAAATGATTGGCTTTGGCTGTGTGTTACTTTTTCAAACGTTGTTCCTCTGTTTCCTTCCAGCCGGTTAAGCGATACCGTGAAAAACATCGACGGCCCGCGAGGCGTCCGAATGGTTTCACAATGTGGACAGGACGCTGTGCAGACGCTTAAGGACGCATATCAGCAGTTGCGCACCGTCACCTGCAAGAACTGATTACGGCATTGCTTCACTGCAGCGATGGAGCAGGGTTGTCCTGATTGTTGTAGACGTTAAGCTGATTAAGAAAACAAACAAATTGCGATTTATTATTCTGGTTATGTTAGGTCCAAAATTTTATTGTGGGAAGAATTTGAATTGAACTATATTCATATGACGCCCTTTCAAAACCGTTGGCTTTTCTATCCGTTAGCGCCAAAAATTGCGTGAGTGTCAACCTGGTTTTGCGATGTCATGTAAGGCTAAAATTTATTCTTTTTGCAATAAAACGTTTTGCTTCTTTGTCCAGTTTGTGGATTATGATTCTGGTGGGTGTAACTTCAAGACTGACGATGACTGAAAGAAAACTGTCTTCGGAACATTTATAGCAGATCATCACCGAAGATTGCCTTGTGGAGCAATCTTCAAAATACAACCAAATTATTGCTATGTAAAAAGCTATGAATACTTCGGCAATTAGACTTTGTTGCCGTTTTAGCAGATACTGTATGTTATTATGTTTTAATGCGATCGTAAATTTAAAGGCAAAAGTGATAGCTAATAATATACAAAAATAAAGACTATACTAATTGGCTGGATTGCAACTTACATAAGAGCTATTAGTTCTAATACCTTCTCCGTGTGTGGTAATAGCAGTAATAATATCTGCAGAATGTATACAGTTTTTTGGGTTGTTCGCGAAGAAAATCTCGTTGCTTTGCTTTGCCTTGCGGCAAGGTATTACGATATACTGTAGCAGTCAATGTTGCCATTTTTAAACTACAGCCGCAATGCAAAATTTAGTGTTAGATCCCAATTCCACACTGATTCAAACAATACAGAATGCGCTTCTTAACTATAGGATCGCTCAACCGACTGGTCGGATCTGTATACCGTAATTAACGGTAAGTTAAATGAATCATCAGGCGTCAGCTCATAGTAAACTTAATGCTCATGTTAGACGTGAGTGTACTAATAATTTGCGCTTGTCACCGCGTGGTTTGTTTAACATTGGCGAGCGTATAGGTAATGATCTGTTACAGACAACGGATTTATAAATGGACGTCAAAGGTAACAATAGCATCGAAACGGAATGGCAAGTTACGGACGATGGAAAAGTCCGAACCCTTGGCAGCATTTGTGATTTTGCTAGAGACACCACGCAATTTGTAGCGAGTGGAACGTTTGGTTTTTTGTTTACGAAGCCAGGACGACCAAATGGGATGGTGTTATTGGTAGACAAATTGCTGTAAAGCTAGGTTATGGAGGTCGATTGCAAATCTGAGAAACACAGGACGTCCTTGCTTAATAAAATGAGCTTAAAGTTAATGAAAACTATCATCAAACTACGGCACGACCATTTAGTATCTATCCATAAATTGATCGTTAAAAACCGTCCAGGTGGAGGAATGCACGTTGAACTGGTGATGGATTATTATCCTGGTAAGCATTATATCTGTTGGCGTAGTTTATCGCTGACCGCTTTCTACGTGTATTTTTTTAGACGGAAATTTGTCCGCATTCCTAAAGCAACTAAAATCCCAGCAGGAGCTTCTCTGTTACGGCGAGGTAGTCCGATATGCAGTGGACATCACGAGTGGACAGGTGTTTCTGCATCACAACAATATTATCCACGGAGACCTAAAGCCAGGCAACATTCTCATCAAACATTTGGGAACAAGGGGGACAAGATTGCTCAGATTGGTTATTTGTGATTGTGACAATCCCATACAGATGCAGCAGAACACTACTGTTTCCAGCGATATAACCCATTTGCTTGGAACGCCAGACACCAGAAATACTGAATAAATTTGTGAGGTTCCTGGAAGAGCGGTCGACCTTTCCGCCACCTGGGCGAAAGACAGATATATGGAGTCTTGGCTGTATTATATTAGATATGTGCTACCGAAGCAGTACTGTTGGCCGCAATAACCTATTTAACATTTCGGAGTTTTGAGTTAATTGCACCGTGTGCAGTCATAAAATGGAAGCAAAAAACGGTTTGAAGATGTCCGAAAGCCAGATACCATCAAAGAAGAAGAAACTTAAAGCAGTTTTTAAACAGTTTTAAAGGCAGCTTTTAAAAGGCATTGAATCTTTGTAGTAGCTAAATATGCAACAAGTAGCGTTCAGGTGGCTCAAACACATGCACCCCCGTTAATTTATTCAGAGCTATCGGATTGGCCAGATAAATATTAAGAAGAACTGGCGTTTAAATTTTGAGAAGCGTCAATAAGTTCAGATTGTAGCTTCCTAGCATCAGTGGAAACGGACGGTGCCGTATCACAGTAGTGGCGCCAAAGGGCTCAAAGTCCAAATTAGTTTGGACTTTGGACCAATTAGTTAGTCCCAGATTAGTTTAGGGCCTTTGGGCAATAAAAACGGTTAAGCGAGAGCAGCGAACCGGAAATTTTGCTATTATCGTTATTATAATAAGCATTATTAATTCAAGCTCTTTGGGATTGAGTTCAACTTTAAAGTACCGCGGTAGATAAAAATTATTGTATCGACAACCAAACATTAACTATACCTGGCATTATAACAGCAGTCAGATCTGGTTCTTTACGTGTCTTGCTTAGTACATGAGAAGCAACAGCATGGACGATCTCCTCAGACCATTCCGGACAAGTGCGGTACCGGTAGTTGTAGATCAACTTATGGGAAATGTTCAAACACGGAAACGAATGCTTGATCTCGTTCAGAGCATAGTGAAACGCCGGTCCGGTATACGGCCAGCCACCCAGCTGGGTGGTGTACATTATGGCCGCGGTAATGATTTCGATTTGTAAAGGTCTACCGAAACAAGCCAGATGGGCTACAGTAGCCATGGTTGGCTAAATTTATATGGCACTACCTTAACGAAATAAATTTATCTCATGGATCCAGTTTAAATTGGCGAGTGCGACAGTCGCAGATTTTTATTTTTTTGCCTATGGAGATACAATGGTTTCTTGTTGCGGTGGTGTGATGTTATTCCCCGTTGGAAAGGTCACATCGTACACACAGACTAACACAGTTGTGTACTAGAGTAAACGCGTGCAACGTTCCTAGTGGAAAATTACCGATCACAAGTGAAAACGCAGTTTATTGTATAGCATGTAAATTCCCATTGGAAATTTGCAAAGTGACATTTGTGTATTTAAAGCTTGTTCGGAATAATACGATCCTACAAAACAATAGCGAAAGTATATTCCACTACATTTCTGTCCCTTGTGTGTACTAAATTTTTTGTCAAATGATATCGTAGGTACTAAAGCCGGTCGGGAGCATGTGACAGTTTCATAATTTCATTCATAGCGTGCACCTGAACTGTTCGCTAGAAATTTCTTCCATATTGTTGAAACTTTCAGATTTACAATAAACGAGAGATGTATTAAATTTAACTTTTGGTATGATACTCGAGATGGTCCCGTATGCATGCGTGAGGTCACTTTGATTTTTCAGTTAATCCAGATTTACGATCTTCTGATATTGTAGGTGTTGTATTTGCAGACGTGCTTTTCCTGTCTGTGTTTCTAAACATAAGTTTTGCCATTAATAATGAGCGCAATGTATTGTCGTACTGTACTACAGTCTCCAAGAGTAGCGAAAAAGATGCACGCGCATTTCGCGTGTGGAAGTGTTGAATACCACAATACAGACTGATGCATAATGGTCGCTCGAGTAACCGAAATGTCGCACCCAATGAAAAATCACCCGCAACCCTGCGTCACATTGGTTCTTCCATTGTGTAGCTACACGGGAACCGATGTCATCCACAGATAACAATTCCGCAAGCAACTGCTGCGCCGATTCCCTGTTTGTTGCGTCGGTGCAAAAACATTTTCGAACGCATTATGCAAGGTGCAGCGGAATTAGCGCGTCAACTACCGGAGCGTAACCGTCCAAAATTAGCTGGACATACTGATAATCTGTAAGGTCATCTGCAACGGTGATTATCGGTTTATCCGGGTCTGGATGACACATTTAGGCTAGTTACTAGTTAGCCTCAAATTCCATTATCTTCTGCAAAGTGTATGCACTTGCTTGTCTAAAAGCCACGGTTTGAGCATGGACAGTATATATTTATTGCATTTCTCTACGCTTTACCCGAAGCGAACCATTGTCCCAGTCGAACTGATTGACCACCACGGGCACCACCCGCTCACCAAAAAAAAACGAGGGTTATGTCGAGGGTTATGTTTGTTATGGGTGTCTTAAAGGTTCGATTTAGGAAGTGCTTCACTAAAAATCTCCCAGAACTGTGGACTTCCGAAATGTCGTTCATAACCTGACAAAAGGGCCACATTAGTAGCGTACAAAATAAGCATAGCTGATTTCTTTTATAATAAAAGGATCCACAATTGCATTATAACTGTTAAGATAATTATACTGCTTAGACTGAAAAGACACAAATTATCAGCAATTTAGACATGTAATGTACCGCAATAAAGCCTATTTTCTATCAGACGATCCCAAAGAATCTTTCTTGCGCAAAATCGTTGGCACTTGGCAGTAACATATCGATTTTTAGAATTTTCTCTGACGCTGCAGCTTGATTATATTCTGCTTAAAAAATCTGTAAAAATGTTATTTTTTTGCTGCATAGTAGCACTGTACGTATATTTTACTATTAATAAACATAATCTTAATTCGAGAACGGCCTAGGTTTTACCTGAACAAACATTTTCATAGCAACGTATGTGGGAATCACGTGGGGTGACAGCTGTAACAAAGACCGACAGTGAAAAAACCATTAAAAACCGGGATGGATTTGGCGATTTCTATTTGGATGCTACTTTTCTCGCATTTCGATCACTTAACATTGGAGAATTTTATTGACTCGGCAATGACTGGGAGAACAAGTTATCAAAGTACGGGTAATACAGTTAGCAAGAAACGAATAAGGTCGAAGCACTCACGTTTTCGGTAGGTTGATATGTACTTAATGAACTGCTGCTTGGTCAGCGCCTTCATTCTGTTAGCGAATTCTCGCGCAGAAGGTCCGGACGCTTCCGCGTATATGGATTCAGCAGGCTCGATGACAAGAACAGAACGAAAGGCCAAAAGCGCTACCTAAGCATTTAAACGGAATCAGTAACCATCCAGAAACGAAGGTGTGAGCATGCGGAAGAGTTACACTTCCAGCGAACATATTGACAGTTAACCTTACCAGCCAAAAAAATCAGCCGTAAATTTTTTCCATCCTGATTGTTCATATTTTCAGACCAAACATGTACATGTTAGTGTAATATCTGTAATTTCATGACTAACACTTTGGCCGGCATATGAATTTCAGCTGGACAATTTGGTTTGGTTCAAAAATGCGATGAAATGGTTGGCAGAATTTATGGCGGCCTTTTTTGCCCGCTGATGTTCTGGTCGCTTTAACGACGAAAACGTCCGCCGGGCGTGTTTTGGTCGAGTACAAGCGGTCACACTTATCAAGATCACACTTCACACAGGATGCTCACCTCGTCTAGAGCGTCATTGGATTTCCAGTCTCGAGTTTCTTGGACCGTGTAGCGGTAAGGTAAGTTGTAGACGTATACTTTCGAGCAAATGCACATGCAACGAAGTCCATGTTGATAAAACAATTTTCCTAGTTAATAATTTTTAGTTCAGTGGCCACGTACGTGTTCACCATTGGCCATATTCATTTCTTGGGCCACCAGCTGTAAAGCATTAGCTAAAGTTTTAGCTAACAATGAACAAACTTTTTAGCCAATTATAGCCAGTACGGCGGTAAACTTACCATAAAATCCCTTAAATTTGTTGGTAGGAAACCAAAAAGCAGGGTCACTATAACATTGTATGAAACTGTATTACCGATTTTGCCCTAGTAAACGATATTAATCTTAATTCCGTGTTTTACCTTGCACAACCCGATTTAAATCGTGGAGCATACGCCTGTAACTACCCTGAATATTTTTAATGTCGATTTCCATGGTATAGATTTGTGTGTCGGGGAATGTCCTGAGCTCAGCCTGTACTGCGTCGGCCAGAAAAAGACTCAGAGAATTTGCCGTGGAGTTAATTATTAATCCATAGCTTTTCCAGTGAAATATTTCGATAAATGATCTAGAAATACGCAAGTATCCAAAGGAAGTATTAATGGACGTGGTGATCCATGTCAGATACAAGTCCTTGTCCCGGATTTTCGGTAATGTACCTACGCTGTTAATAAAAAAGACTACTTTAAACAGTAACCAACAATAACAACATGACTTCGTTACGCTTGTTTCAGGATTTATTTGTTTGCATTACTGTAACGGCACAAAAACTCATGAAGAACAAAAACAACACAGAACTCAGGAAGCCGAATGTTTTTGTATTGCTTCATATTCGCCAAGTTCACTTAATTTTTAAGTAACCTTGTGATTAGCAGTATATCCCATTCGGTGATCAGCGGCAGCAAGGGCTGAACGTCGATTGCACATCCTGCAAAATGTCGAAAAAAGGAAAGGTTACGTTATTCTTTTGCTCTAGGCATGCAGTGACTATTTGCTGTTCATTGCCAAGTCCGTATTTTATTCCGGCTTGTAGGCACGATATTGCTGTATCTACAGAATTACAGCTACCACCGCCCAGATTCGGTAAATTTCCTTTGTTGATCAGCATTAAACTACTTGGCAATGCTGAAGATAAACCGTATACGGTAACGTAAGCATCATGTGTGCCGCGTGACTGATGATGCTCACCTCGTCTGGAGTTACAATCTTAACTTATTGGCAGATTCTTAAAAACCGAGAACCGGAAACTCTTAAGTTATAAATCCACCCCTCTGTCACCATTGGCGTAAAAATTTAAGAACGAGCGATTTAGGAGCCGGATGTTTTGAAATTATAAGCTACTCGATCAAGTCCTTTTTAAGTTTAAGAACGATGCTGCGGAGCACTGTAGCCGCCCGCACAAGGTGCCCCACAGAGCGAGGTATACGGATATTTGAACCCACATTGCTCGCTGTTCAGCACAGTGTGTGCAGGGAGAAGGCAACGGCCGGATATGCCAGTGGAGCAACTTGTGCGGGCGGCTACAGTACAAATGGGTAAATTTTCCTTTTTATTACCATTACTTAATGATACAAAAACTACGTGTTACACTGATCATCTTGAGAGGGGCAGATAGAACAATTTCACTTTTACCTGGAACAGAACCCGGAGTATTTTCCGATCCATTTTTATATATAGCATTAATTGGATCACTGGGATATGATGCACCGGCAAACAGCGGTGTGAGCCAGACACTTTCGTCCAAATGTATTGCCGTTCTTTGACGGTTAGTTTCCTAAGATTGTAAGGAAATGTGCCATTGCGTTCGCAAAGATATCTCGGTTTTGAAGCTGTTATCTGGTCCATTGTCTAGGGGTAGTTAACTGTAAGCGTGGACGCCGTACCAGGTATATGTGTTTTGCATCCAGAATCCACCATTGGGAGATTTTACTCTCCTCCTGGATCTGCCTTTAAGAAACCAGAAGGTTTCTATCGGCACTCCTATTCGTTCATTTCATCTCACATTATAAAATTAGCCGTAGAGCAGTACCTCAAAGGCAAAATAAAAAGGTCAAAGCAACGAGGGCTGCCACGATAGCACCGCATATAATAAGTGGAATGGAAAACGGAGCTTCTAGTACACCAGAACTTTTAATCTGATAGTACGTATGCAAACTGACTGCTTCATACACAGTTAAAATTCTTTCTTTATTACCAGAACTTGTGCGATTATTAATAAAGATGCGGTGGGTTAAAATTCTGTTTTTCTTAACAGCTACGCAATTTGAACGCGCTCAACCTTAACCGGTTTTTTGGATTCTGTTTTACCGACGAGAAGAATTTATTCTTGGTCAGTGCATACTGTACTCGCGGTTCCCTAAACGATCTTCTGAATGGCGTGGCGCTTAATGAGGATTTGAAATTATCTCTTATTCAAGACCTGCTTCAAGTACAATAATTATTGTTTCATCAAATCCTACTGGTAGCGTCTGGCTTCTTCAAATTGTTTTACAGGGTCTTTCTGCGATACACCTTTGAAAGCTCACGGCACCCTCACCAGCAAAAATTGTCTTGTCGACAGGCGTTTTACACTTAAGCTTGAAGGCATAGCGTATGCAAGATTACGTTTGTTGATGGCTGCGCTCAATACCTTTTCTAAAGAAATTACAACAAAGTCAAATCGGATAAGCAAATTAACGTTAGACCCGAAAGCGGGTATTGCAGCAGTTGGAATGATCATGAGCGATATTATTTGGCAGCAAGAAGGTATGGTGGAGAACGACGACGCATGTACTTTCTTTCCCCTCGGAAATATGCAGCATACATATGAAAAACTTTCTACCGGTCGTCGCCCACTGTCTAACTGAGAATTCCGCTTACCAACCCAACATCGATGTTATAACTGAATTGTTTAAAAAAGCGACGGGTCGAAAGAAAATTGAGAATGTTATGGAGCGCATAGCCAAGCGACTGGAACGCTATACCACACAGCTGGTTATGTTGGTCACTCAACGAACAGCGGAACTGATCGTAGAAAGGTCGCAGTGCGATTTTTTACTGATGGAAATTTTTCCAAAGACAATCATTGCCGATCTGCGGAGGGGTGCTTCTGTTCACCCGGAAACCCTTGACTCAGTCACCGTTATGTTTAGGTAAGAAAAGACTCTCCAACAATGATGTTACGCGGCTCAACCGGCGCTGTACACAGCGGTAACGAGTACAGAGAAATATTGTTGGCAGTGACGTTAGTGGATTTGCGGACTTTGTACAGAAGCATTCTCCTGTGGACATCATGACCTTTCTAAATCAGGTGCAACGAGGTAAGGTTATTGAGCCATCTTGATTGATAATGCAAGTTGCTTACTTAGGTCTATTCGGTCTTCGATTTGGTACTTCCCAGTTTCGGTGCGTACAAGGTGGAGACAATAAAAGATTCCTATATGGTAAGGTAACGCTTCGTAACTGGGCGTTAAATTCAAAATATTTTCAAAATATAATGCAAGAGTTCGAACTACATGTAGGTCGTAAGTGGACTACCGGAACCCAACGAATGTCACGCTCAAGAATTATGTTTATTGGCGAACGATTTGATAAGCGCGTACGTACGATTTGAAGAGACTTCCGGGACGGCATTACGTATTGGTCTGCATAGCGGCTCTTGCGTTGGAGGGATCATTGGGAACAAAGCCCCGCGATACTGTTTGTAGGAAGAAAATCAGAACTTAATTGACTAAGAAACGGCTGTACTATAAGCAGACTGCATTTCTGTAGATTTGGGGATACAGTTAATACAGCATCCCGAATGTTGTCATACAGTCTGGATTCCCACATCCACCTAAGTTGTGACACGGCACAATTACTGGAAAAGCTGCCGCAGTTCTGTCTCGTTGAAAGAGGTTTTGTAGAGGTCAAAGGAAAAGGATGCGTACGAACGTTCTGGCTCCAATACCCTTTGCGGGCCGTATGTCCAACTACATAGGAAGTCCATGATGTTGTTGCACAATGCTGATGACAATCATGACATATATTTTACACATGTGCTTCTCATATTTCTACCGCGTACATCCTGTTCCACATACATTTGTTATATTTATCAGCGATAAGCAAAACGCAAATTTTGCAAACTTTTGGGCAACGAAGCCTATCTAATTGACTGTATTATAATATTGATTATAATAAATCAAGCAGCCAAAATTGCAAATGCGCATTTCCTAAAAATTTACAAAGGGCTGACTATCGAAAATCTTACAAAGATATGGAGTACAGATAGATCATCAGAAAAATAAAAATAACGAATTGGTTTCAATCTTGACAAAGAACGTACTCAATGGCTGTATCAAAAAAATATTGTCCGACATCCGAGCAGCTCAGACGATATTGAATTTACTTGATCCAGAACTCCTGCACAATACGCTTGTCGTGTTTACCATGAAAACCTTGCCCAAGAATTCAATCCCCTTCACACAATGGCATGAAAAGGCTTCCCTACATTTCTTCGGCATCGCTCTTATGACTATTTACACACACTTTGCTCGGTCTTTATCAGCAGTCATGAAAGCCGCTTTCGTGCTGTGTACGGGAATAAACGCGATCCTCCGTGTTACATACAGCCCGTGCACAATTGTACATACGGTACATATCAGCGCCGGCACCCGCTCATCGTGCATCGATTAGCGGCGATCTCTCTCAGCGCAGGCTATTGATCGCGTCAAGTCCCTTCAGCATGCTGACGTCAAGCACTCGGCTGGAGTGTATAAGGCTTATGCTGAGCGGATCTGCTGCTGTGCTGCGGAAAGAGCGAGCGAGAGTCCCGTGTTCTTGTACAGGAAACAATATTATCCTGCCTGAATTTCCCACTGTTTAATCGCCATTTACGTTCTTCTTGCTTTCCATACACCACCAATATGGCAATCTTAAGCCCGGTGACCTTTACACAATGGGTACTAATTGTGGCGGCGGTGATGGGACTGGTGTGTGCGGTGAAGGATGGCGCGGAGTTTGATGAGAATGAGGAAGATGTCGATGCTGGAGCGGATGATAACAAGGTAGGCATGACGCTGATCACTTACCGAACGAACATTTTGACTATGCTGCTTTTGCTAATAATATATAATATGGTTTACAGCTTGTTATAATTAACAGCTAATTATTGGTGAATTTCTCGTAATATAAGGTTTCGTATGTTTTACTAATTGATACCATTTAATTTGATCTTTCTGTTTAATTTGATTTGACCAGCATATCGCATGTTTAAAAGACGAAAGATTACTTAATCAATCAATTAAACTGCGAGTAGAAAGTCGGTGTATTTTTTTCATCGGCTGCAGTGATAAAAACATGTATCAATTGGTAAAATGGAGCTTTTTCAGTGAAGCCTAAGTAATGGGTTTATTGGTAAACTAACACAACGACGCAGATAAGCCGTTTTTTGTTTACGATATGGGTTTCAATATTATCTGTACAAGAAACGTAATCAATCTGCAGACATGAACTAAAAAATGATGTTTTATTTAACTGTTCGCAATTCACAAAAAAATTGTGTTAAAGACACGTATCGCGATCCAATCTGCTATGCTGCGTCATTTCCAGTTGCGCTTCCGCCGACTTTCCGATTGACAAGGGCAGTGCTAAGCCATAGTAATGCTAATAGAAAGCGATTTCCCTGCTTTAGCGCGGTATATGTATATGTGCATCTAACTCAACCCAAAATAATCAATCCCGCCGGGAAGCAGCGCTGACGTCTGACACTGCTTTCGTTCCCTCGTGTTGCTACAATCCAGCGAAAGATAATTAATTAGCAGAGGATTTTGTCACGCGCAGGCGCTTTTAATCATACATTAGCCGCTGTGGTCCTTGACATTTCTCTGATTCTTATACAACCATTGTGTACGCAGGTGGAAAACCGCGGTGCCGGTGTATGGCCGCTTCGGGGTGCGTTTGGGGATGTCAGCAGTGTGGCCGTGCATCCGAACGGGGAATTATTCCTGCTTCATCGCGGTCCCAATGCATGGCTAGCGACGTAAGAAATCAAGAGAATTAAAGGCCGTAATGATGATTACGTCTTTTGCTTATCGTTCATTTGAATTGGTTATATTCGTTGCTATAATTTATTTATGGTCAGTGTATTGCATTAATTTCTATAAATATTACATGATTGAAAATTAAAAAATTACTTACATTCGCTTAACAAAAACTAATCTTAACATTATCTACGAGGTGCTTGCGCGTTTTATACATTTACTGCCTTAAATTATTATTTTATTACGCGAAGAAAAACAATTTCCGTTTTCATAACCTTGTGCAGTAAATGACAAGTTAGGTATACACCAAAATTTATGTTTACTGCTGCTAATCAACGATGCACTAGGAACGAACTCTCTTAGTTTATTGAGTTTATTAAAAACGGCTGCACACTACTACATAACTGCAAATTGTACTACATAACTAACCCACGTATGAGCGACAATGGCAATTAAATCTGCTCAGCGGCAGCAGCAGTGTCTCATTTTTTTTATTTTAAAGCATACGAATGGCATGTACAAGTAGGCGGATTAGTCGCATACACACACTTTATGCAAAATTACGGACAGCTGCCCGGGTAGCCTGTATATAAACCAACCACTTTATTACATTCTATCTGTAGTGATGCTCTTGACCTTTCTGGAGGTATTGATTAAAATATTTAAACTTGCTTGTTTAGCACGTTCAACGAATCCAATGTCTACCAGGAATTCGAGCGTGGCCCCATCGAGGCCGATGTGCTGATTGGTGTAAGTCCTAACACCGGCGAGGAACTGCACCGCTGGGGGCGAAACAGGTAGGTGTTTCACATGTATGCAAATAATGCAATAAGTCTACCCTGCCATAAGCAACTATCATTTGCGCTTATACGCATTTAACCATTCCTATTTTTGCCGATCCCTGGTAATTACTAATTATAGTGCTCACGTGCACTTTTTATGTGTATCAGATTTTACCTTCCTCACGGATTGACCATCGATGCAGACGGAAATTTCTGGATTACCGATGTTGCTTTACATCAGGTATGCATGCACAAAATATAATTGATATCACTATTGTATATAAACAATTAAACAGTGGAAATCAAGTTTTTATTCACTTAGCTATTTTGAAACCTTTTTTATAGAAACACAACATGTTGTACACATTTTACAAGAGTGCAGTTTATTATTTCATAACGTTTAATTATGGATATGGATTATTTCATAACGTTTAATTATGGAGAGTTTAATTATGGATATGGACTTATTACAAAAGTGAGCTAATTCTCCACCAAGCCGGATGTTGACTCTAAATATGTAATACTTTGTCAGGCTGTGCGAATGCTAGGCGCGCTCGAGTTGCGTGCACGCACAAGGTTGTCAACAGCTTCGAGAATGTGTCCCGCTTTTCTCATCCTGTTTTCTTCCTCCTAATTGGGTAGGTCTTTAAAGTGGATCCGGTGTCATTGGAGTTGACGCTAACATTGGGCGAAGCCGGAGTGCCCGGATCAGATAAGAATCACTTTTGCAAACCAACTGATGTGGCGGTTACGTCCACTGGCGATTTTTTCGTATCGGACGGGTGAGTACTTATTTTTCTACTGCATTGTGCGAAGTACCACAGACTCAACTGCACTGCACTGACAAATTAATAAAACTGTACGTACCCATTTATGTTACACCAAGAGAATAAAAAAAACTACCTATATGTACATGTTGTCCGGCATCCGCTAAGACCAAAAATTTAATTACCAAATTTATGTAGTTTTTGAGCATCTTGGCTTGCGCTATAGGTACTGTAACTCACGGATCATGAAGTTCGACAGTAAGGGTAATTACCTATTGGAATTCGGCCGCCCATCCGACCCGTCGACCATTCCGGCACCGGCTGACGGGCTGAATATTCCGCACAGTCTGGCGCTGATTCCCAAATACGACTTGATCTGTGTAGCCAACCGCGAAGACGAAAAGATCCAGTGCTTCACGGCTGGTCTACAGGGTGACGTCTCAGCTGGACAAATGGTCCAACAGATCGCCCATCCGGCACTGTCACGTGTCTTTGCCATTGATTATTCCGTACCATGTAAGTCGAAATCTGTTAAAGAATTATAAGAGTTTATTGAAAAGCCAACGATACACATAGTTTCTCTTTTGGTTCATATGCATTGCATAAGGATAGGCAATATTATTAACATACTGCATACATATAACCTTATATTTAGAAAATATAGAACATACGCATAGCATAGCCCAGAGTACATAATACAAGCTTGTCCGGTAATTTCTTACGAATCAGAACAGTGAAATATACAAATTCACGACGTAGTGTAGTGGCAATTGCCATAGCGCTAACTTTGCGCTAAATATGTGCTGTCTGTATCTTTACGTAGGAAATTACCGGACAAGCTTGTACATATTGCATATACGCAAATACAATACTCGTACTTTAGTTCTAATACAATATTTTGTTGCGTTGTGTTCCTGGAAAACAATGACCTGCGAAATATCACGCCATACTACTGTGTTAAAAAAGTGATATAAATTATATAGATAATACATGTAAGTACTTAAAAACAAGTGCACAGGAAATTACAGTTTATAATACATTCTCTGTAGATGTCCGAGTACAAATAAAAACAGAAAATTTGACTCCTCTGTTCAGACAAATCCACTGCAATTAAAGTAGCATAGTAATAAATATGTACGTGAAAAAACTTATGTCTGTGTTTTATTTACGCAGTGAACAAGCTGTACGCCGTGAACGGTGTCGGTTTCTCCCTGGAAGACAAGCCTATGAGCATTTTCAGCATTGACCTGGCCAGCAACGCCATTAGCTCGTGGAATCCAGCGGAAGACGGCGTCGACATGGTGGCGCCACACGACATTGCCCTGTCGCCCAACGGACAGTACATCTTCGTCGCCGATATGGCACCGCAGCCGACCATCTGGAAGTTCGACAACAGCGACTACGATCCGCGCAAAGAATAACATGAGCCCATGCACGCACGCCCTTCAGCTGTAGTTAATTAGATGGATAAAAACCATTACACAGCATTATGTCAACAATACACACGTGATGAAGAGAGATTCTATCCAATTTTTATGCGTTTCATATTGATAATCCATTTTCATTGTTGCCGGTCGCTCTCGTGTTTCGGGAAATTAATAATAAATATGATTAAATTAGGAAGGTCGCATCGGCTTATTACTACGCGTACATGTTTATTGCACAGGTAGACTGATTATCGGTTTATCGATCGCTTTGATAAAGGTATGCGTAAATACTGGCAGATGTTAGGGCTGTACGCATTCAAACCGGCAAAATGCCGGAGCAGATTATCGATCGAAAAATCATTGTGCAGGTAAGCATGTCTACAGCAACGGCTGTATCCTTCCCCTGACACATTTAATCATTTGATTTACATGCGCTTCTGATGAACAGCAGTTTTTTTAGAATCAATTTTTATTGCTAGGCAACAACGCTTATTATATCATGGTCAGCGGTGAATGTGCTTAAATCGTGTAGTGTATTTCTTCAAAAATTATTTAGCGGACTAGTTTGACCGTGTAAAAAATGGCTAGTTTGCATCCGACAACCAGTGTACAGTCGCACGAAGAATTGATCGGAGAGTATGCCAAAGTTATCGAAACCGAGCGGAATCGTGGTGATGAAGCGGAACGGACATACGAAGCGCTAAAACGGGTTCACGAAGAGTAAGTATGATGGTATTACTTTATTTAAGTACTGGAATTCCTCGTATAAAAACTTTACAAAAAGTGATTACCGTTTACGAATGCATTGATTTAAAGCACAATCGAGGAGTTTCGCGTTTCGCAAGACCAGACCCAGAAGCTGTTTTCCGAAACCGAGTTCAAGCTGAAACGCTCCGACGACACCGTCCGCGATCTCCGGCAGACCATCCTCGACCAAGCGCGACAGATCGCCGATCTCCAAAGTAATTTGCTCACCCCACAAAAACATGAGCTCTTTCGCATCCAAGCCCAGGCGGAAGCCGACAAAGCCTACCAGTCAAAACAACGCTCCCTCCAAGACGAGATTGTTACCCTTAAGTCTCGGGTGGCTGCGTTGACCCAGGAAAACACCGCGTTGCGGGCGGACAGTGATCTGCGGGAGGCGGATTTCAAGCGACAAAAGAACGATCTAGTGGCACGGTATGAGCGGCGCCTGGACGATGCCAAGCGGGAGAAGGATGCCGCGGTCCTGGTAATTCCGGCGGTGGATGCTGGGAAGTTCAGGCAATTGCAACGCGATAACGATCAGCTGGAGTTGCGGGTAAAGGCGCAGGATATGGAGCTGGAGAGTGTGCGAGCGGATAAGGCCAAGGCAGATGAAGAGTATGAGAGAACGAATAAGGGAACATGAGGAAGATTGTCGAAAGAGATTTGCTTATCGAAAACCTAAAGGTATCACTAGAGTAGGCATGATTACAGTATATGATAAACGTTCCGTTGCAAATACTACTCATACGATAATTAACACAGTGTGATTCAGTGATACTACAGAGTATACGACAATTCCCAGAATTCTGTATAGGATTGTTGTTGTAGACCGAACTGGAGGTGACGAAGACCCAAGTCGATCATCTAAGAAAACAAGTTTCCGATATAAACACAGAAAGTCTGCAGAGTTTACAAAAGATTCTGAATTTGGAAAGCGAAAAAGAAAGTCTGCAGAGCGACATCGATGGGATCAACCACAAGCACCAAGTGGAGCTAGGCTCGGTGCGAGCCAAAAGCGCCATGGAGAAAGCGCAATTACAAAAAGAAATAAACACCCTGAAAGCCGAAATCGAAAGTATATGCAACATTTCATGAGCTGATTACTGGTTTACCTTTGTCTTATATGGTTTGGTCTTAGATCTGAAGAACGATTCTGCGGATCTCAGGAAAGCCCTTGACCTTCAGAAACAGCTTATTGCCGACAAAGAACATGAAGCGCAAATGAAGCTAAACAATCAGGCGCAACGAGAGGTGGCCGAACTGAGCCGCCTGGAACAACAGCGGTAACGCGGACATTTTTCGAATTGGACAAAATTGGTGCTCAAAACAATTTGTTTCGCATCAGGAGCCATTTGGAACAGAAACTTTCCGCAGCAGAAAAACAGTCGGCTGATTTGGAGCGGGAGTTGCAGAGCAAAAGTGATCAGATTCTAGATGAGCGAAAGGTTGCTGCGCTAGGCCTAAGCGAAAGCGTTAAAGAATCGGATGCACTCAAGTAGGTAATTAAATGTAATCGGTACATGCTAACGGTATTACGGCGATAGTGGAGCCGGCATGGGAAAGTGTTTCGCATCGTACGGTAAAAAATTGTACGAGTTGGCATATGGACAGAAACGGTAGTAGATTTGCGAACAAATCATTTTTCCTGTCAGTATTAAAATAAAACACATTCCGTTAAAATTCCGTTAAAATAAACGCATTCCAGATATATTCCATGGAAATACATACATCAAAATAAAATACAAGCACATCATTTTTCTTGTCAGTATTAAAATAAAATACATTCCTAAGATAATTTCGGCGGTAACATACAATTTTACAATTGTTGGAAACCGAAAAAAGTTTCTTTCCACCTGCGATACAGAATACAAGCCTCGAATCGTTTTTTTTCCAACAGGCTAAGAATCATGGAATATCAACGCATGGAAATCACGTTTGCCAAAACCAAATCGGATTACGCCGTTTTACAACAAGAAATTAGGTTTGCTTCAGCAGATTACTACTGCTGAAGAGACCTTGCGGAACCTCAATCTGGAGAAAGGCCAACTAGAAAAGCAGCTGGTGGAGCTGTCCGAAAGAGAGAAGAATCAACAGACTGCCTTTAAAGACAGTCTCAGCCAGCATGAACTAGAAAAGCAAGCTATCCTGAATACCTTTAACGAGAAACGAAGCAGTTATGGAACTCGGATAAAAGAACAAGAAGCCAAGCTGCAAGGAAACGATAAACAAATTCTCCTGGTGAATGAGAAACTCAAAGACGCAGATCGCAAATATCAGATGTACAAGAAACGAACAAAGGTTATCGTTGCGGAACTGGTTGCTGCAGTAAAAGCGAAAGCCGCACTTGTCGAAATGCATAAGTATGAAAAATATCTGTAAGCTGCGTATCTGTGGCTCCATTATCAGTCTTACACTCTTACTTATTGTGCTTTAATGATTTGCAGAGACTCTGTGAGCGCTGCAACGTATCAGAAAGCGCTAGATGAAATCGTCCACCTGAAAAAATTGCTCATTCGTCTACGAGGTATTGTCCTTCCGGGAAACGTTGCCAATAAAACCTTGAATTTGGAGCTCAACCAGATAATGCCGACGGAAGCGACCACTAGTGGGAAGAGTGTTGGTGAACTCTTTGACGAGCAGCTACGCCGAAAAGTTAGTTAGCCCATTGAAGTTTTCTTATTATACATAAGTTCAGCTAAATAACGCTCTTTTTCAGACTGCGCTGCCGAAAAGACCCAGTGAGGATGTGGAACTTAGATCGCTGTTCGACCGACTAAAGCCTTTAGGTTTCGATGAAAATTCACTTATAAGGGATGCCGATAGCGAGCAATTCAGCTCCCCGGCATCGTCACCACCACGATTACGGGATCTTACATAAGCAAAAGTTATTCGAGTACTTGTGCAAATTACGATTGACGTTTATGTCTAACATAATGAATGCATATCAGTCCGAGACTGAAAGGTTACTTTCTAGCGAAACATAATACGTGCACAGTGGAAGCTTCGACAGAGAACGTCGGTACGGATTGTATTAAAGAAACCAGTCTGATTTTAAAATTTCAGCTCATTTTTAATCAGCTAAATTACAGCAAAAAAACTTTACTGTAATATCGTGTTCTAGCAATATCGAATAGAATAGTACGTTATTTACTTATTAGTTATTACGATATGCTAAAATGCAGTTACCATGCATTTGCTGCTTGTACTTAACCTATCGATAAAAACTGACACGTTCGAGCTCTTGGTCATGGACGACTCGTGGATCCTTTCCCATTTTCGCTTACGTCGAAATATTCCAGATAGACTAACAGACTTGTAAACATGTCAAACCGGCGTGTCGGTTTGCACGTTCCTGGACACACACATGTTTACAAGTTTACACATGTCGTTATATTTTGACACGATCGCCGCTTCTGTGTTAGAAATAGAGCGTGCGCTTGTGCATACGTACGATCGCGCGAGTTATATCACTGTAAGAATAGATTTATTGCTGTATCAAACTGAACTTGGAAACAGATATAAGTATTCTGGTTCAAGTCGGGTTACAGCTATGAAAGACACGAAAGTTACTGTAGTAAATGTATGTATCATTTGGAGCAGATACCTTACATACATACTCCCGTACCACAGTGCAACTGCGTGCGTGGGGGTTAAAATAATAATTAATCGCCGGAATTGTCAGTACTCTGTGCATCAGAAATTGATTTAGGTTCATACAGTGTGATTTAGTCTGCATTTGCGAACTCGTATACAAAACGGTATTTTAGAAAATGTCTTCCGTAAAAGAGCTGACGGACAGACCACCCAGCTTTACTTTCCTAGAGGCTATACTGAAACGTTTTGGATCCATAACGGCAGTCAAAGGCAGAAGCCGACTTTGTTTTCATCGTTGTCTGCAAATTCTCCTTGTTATCGGTGCTGGTATAATGAACGGAATGGCATGTTACAAGGGTGTCATTCAGTTAATTCGAAGAGACGATCATCTCAGCCTTACTGTACTCGTTGACGATTTGGAGGGCATAACTGAATCCATCCGGTCTCCGCTAATTATACTTACTGATGCTTATGATTTGCGGAGAAGAACATTTTTTCCGACTGGAAAGAGCTCTTCAGCAAGTACTGCAGTTTCTCAGTACTGATGGCTCTGCTGCAGGTGGCACAACAAAAAAAGGGTTTCGTCCGCTGTAATGACCTTCCTTATAGTCGTGATTTTGCACTGGCTATGGGGTTTTATCATCTGGTCTATCGACGATTATTCGATCCGCCTGAGTATGGAAAATTTTGGCAACAATCGCACCAGTGATACTTTGAAATTAATGGGGATCACGATGGTACGATGGAAATTTTACCTGATATGGTTTCTCCTCACTGAACCAGCCTTTATTTACTGCATGCTGATTCAGACCATGTTCTGCTTATGCGGACACATACTTTGGGCGGGACAGAAACACCTACTGCGACAGCTTCGACAAATTCAGCCACCACATACAGTTTTGCCGGTGCAACTCTGTCATGATGTGAATTGAATTGTGGATCTGAACAAAGGATTATATGGGCTCGCGGAAGCTATTAACAATTGTTTCGGACGAATCGCCGCGGTTGCATATTTTGTGGATTCCGCGACAATGTTAGCGAATATTGCCGGCACTCGGCTTTTGTCGGATGCACCTCAGTACTTGGAACTGGTGCCAACAGCGCTGTTCGCATTTATGATGACTGTTTTCGCTTATCCTTATTTGAAAATCGTTCTTTTGGTAAGGGTAAGGTAGTTCTTATTCGCACTGTACTTACCGTGTATGAAAAAATTTGAATGAGTCCCGGCCTCGGCCCAACCGGCTTCCACTTTTTTTCCTGCTGCAGCTCTATACACTGTACAGTGTACACAGCGTAAATGAGTATACTGTCTCACTGCAAAATAAAGAGACGCCCGCCCCCGCCCGATGGTAGCGCCCACCTATGAGCAGACGGTTACATACGGTTGGCTGTTTCACACGTTGACGCAGAATCGAATTAACTTTTTGAGCCGACAAAGTGTACTTCTAGTTCTAGCTGAACGGCATCGAACGAAATTACCTGCCCCAGCTGCCCGTAAGGAAGCGCTAGAAAACCGTCTTCAGTTTCGCAGTAATACAGTACTGGTACAAAAAAATCAGAAAAAATAGATGTAGCCATTTCTGTAATTATTGAACGGCTATGTATTCTTATGTTCTGTAGGACGCCGTGATCGAAACTGAGCTCTGCAAATTGCTCGTCGGAGCGCTCCCGCTAATTACATCTGTATCGTTAACGGTATGTAATAAAGTATGCACTGCTACGCAGTCGTGAGCGTAATATGCGTCCTTCTGGCTGGAAATATGTAGTAGCAATATGCTCATTTGGACTTAGTCACTTAAGCTTTCTCCAGGCCCCGGCTTTGAAGACGACTCTCGAAACCGCATTGCTGGCCCAGCAAAAACTAAAACTTCAGGCCAGCGCCGGTGGATTATTCTATCTGACATGGCCGCTAGTGTTAAAGGTAAAACAAGTCGTTATGCAGCGATACATAAGGGGAAGTCAGACGTGCATTTTACACATCCAATGTTTAATCAACTTGTACTTCCTCTTTTTGACTTGCAGGTAGGAAAGTGATTATCCAAGTTTGAATTATTCAATGCCGTGAAGCATTTTTTCAAATAAGCGTTATTTAAATTTAGCTAATAGTAAGTATTCGAGTTTCTCCGTTACAGACATTGGCCCTTATTGCATGCATCACCGTGCTGGCCAATGAGATCATATCCAGAGAGTCCGCTCATGACCTTAGCAAGAATTGCACAGCCTTGTGAACCTGTTGGATAACGTAGAAACTGTTACTAATGAGGACATCTATCATCCTGTTTTATGGGTTAATTGTTTGTTTTTATTATGCCGAACTGCTTAAATGAAAAATAAATTTCTCAATAAAGGGAAGTTTCGGTAAACTAGCAGGCTGGAACAGCATGGAGAACACACTCTAACATAAAGCGCCCTTCATGACCGTTCTCAGGATCAGCAGTGCGTATCCAAACAGTTTGTGTTGATGGAAAATTGTCTTCCGTTTTTCACCAGATTGTCATAGGTCACTTCCTTGGCACAGTCCACCGTCAGGAAATCTCCGATTGGTTTCTCTTCATCACGGTACCGGGGTTGCGTTACTTCCGGTGTCAGATAGCTGCCGATAACGGCCACCTGACCGGCTTGTTTTACCTCCATCAGGAAAGGCTTCCGGTTCATAAAATTTCTTAGCCACGCTAGCGAGCAGTCGCAGTGCAAGTAGCGCACTCTATCTATGTCTTTGGCCTCCTCCTTAGCAGGAAAGAGCGCCGGTTTAAATGACAATTAACAACGTTAATTGATGTTAATGTTAGCTGGAGGATGCGTGCTCCCGCGTTTCCCTTTTCGCCGTGTGTAGGCAGCTACCTGTGTTGGTGGCGCTGCGAGTCGCTGTGGCCGCTTAGATCAAAGCAGCCGCCGGCACTCACGCGCCTGTTTTTTGCTCTCGGCACTGTTTCTGTGCCCGCGTTGGGTTCTGCATTTCTGGCCAATGTTCTTTGCATTTCTTGTTCGTGTGCGCGCGAGTGATTTGTTCTTTAATTCTCCCTTGGAACCGAGATTTTCATCTTCCTTGATCTGCATCTTGGAATTCTGCGCCGTTCCGCGCGCCGTATAATCCGCGCATCTGCGTTAGCTGTATGAGCCTGTATCAGGAGTCTGTGGCCCTGGCTGTATCTAGCTGCTATCTGTGCGATAGCTCAGCTCCTCGTTTATCGCTATCTAGGTTCTGTCGGACTGTCATCATCGGTAACCGGCCATATCCTCAACAGAATTTCAGATTAGCTCTTTATGCGTCATTTGGATCCGCACTACATCCGAAGAGCCAAGCGAACAGCTAGCACTCAGTTTTGAAAGCCACTTACACGTTGAGGGGCCATACAGAGAAACATCAGTGCGAAGGGAAAAGCGGACAAGATCAACCACTAACTCAGCGGACAAGTTACAGCCGTCATGAATTATGTAAGAAACACAGATTTCCCATCTTACAGCAGCGACCACGTCCAACGACGAGGGTCGGTTCATCAGCTGCTGTGGCTGTGCCTAACGGGAAGACAGGCCACAAAGG